GGTCATGACCCATGAACACGGACAAGGAAGTTACTTACTTCCAACTGTGGAAAGGATCATACAGAGCAATGGAAATGGGAACAGGAGGACTTGGGGTGGTGTGTTTCAATCATGTCTATGGAACAGAAGGATTGGAGGACGCCACAAAGTTTATCAATGGTTGGTAATGCATGGGGTTGTTTCTTTGTACTTTATGTGAGACAGGTGCCAAGACATCTCTGCCGCTTAAGGTATATAATATGTGACATAACGTATCAATATTTACTGAACCAATCTGCTTGTGTTCTGTCACCCTTCTTCACTGCTCTCAGCAGCTCACCCAGGAAGCCAACAGACACCACATAGATGTACTAGGTTGTAAGGTCCCTTGAGGCAGGTGCCTTGACTTTATGTCCCTCCAAGTATTTCTCAAAACTAGGACAAAAAGATTTTCCATTTGAGTAAACTTATTAATGCTGAGGTTCAGTGACGGGTGCATTATTTTTCCTAGCAGTAAGGATTGTCAACAGAGACTTTCGGAATGACTTACTCATAAGGCATGCATCATTCATTCAACATTTAACATGTACTTGTTCCAGACAGTGTTGTAGGGGTGGAGGATTAAGACAAAGTCCTTGTCCTCACATAGCTTATGATTTTAGTGCATGCCAGAGAGAGGAATTTTTTTTTTTTTTGAGACAGAGTCTTGCTGTTTCGCTCAGGCGCACAATGGCATGATCTCGGCTCACTGTAACCTCTACCTTCTGGGTTCAAGTGATTTTCCTGCCTCAGCCTCCTGAGTAGCTGGGACTACAGGCACATGCCACCACACCCGGCTAATTTTTGTATTTTTAGTAGAGATGGGGTTTCACCATGTTAGCCAGGCTGGTCTCGAACTCCTGACCTCAGGTGATCTGCCCACCTCGGCCTCCCAAAGTGTTGGGATTATAGGCAAGAGCCACCGTGCTCGGCCTAGACAGAGGAACTTTTAATTGGAGGAGCACATATTCCCACAGTTTTGGCTGCTGGAATTCTGGTTTGGGGTGATGGTTGTGGGAACAGGAATGCTTCCTGAAACCCCTCACATCTCACTATGTAGAGAAAGGTTTTCAATTTTTCCCCAATCAGTATGATGTTGGTTGTGGGTTTGTCATATATGGCCTTTATTATTTTGAGGTATGTTCCTTCCATACCCAGTTTGTTGAAGTTTTTTTTTTTATCATAAAGGGTTTTTAATTTCTATTGCATTTTTTTTTTTTTTTTTTTTTTTTTTAGCATTTGTTTATATGATCATATGGTTTTTGTCCTTTGTTCTGTCAATGTGATGTACCACGTTTGTTGATTTGTGATACAAATCACAAATTTTGATGTTGAACCATCCTTGCATCTCTGGCATGAATCCCACTTGATCATGGTAAATGATCTTTTTAATGTGTTGTTTCATTCAGTTAGCTACTATTTTGTTGAGGATTGTTGCATCTATGTTCATTAGTGATATTGGCCTGTAGCTTTTTGTTGTTGTTGTGTGTCCTTGTCTGGTTTTGGTATCAGGGTGATGCTGGCCTGGTAGAATGATTTTGGAAGTACTCCCTCCTCTTCAGTTTTTAAAAAGAGTTTGAGTAGAATTGGTATTTGTTCTTCTTTAAGTGTTTGGTAAAATTCAGCCATGAAGCCATTAGGTCTTGGACTTTACTTTGGTGGGAGACTTTTTATTACAGCTTTGATTCTGTTACATTCATCATTGGTTTGTTGACGTTTTCTACTTCATGGTTCAGTCTTGGTAGACTGTATGTGTCCAGGACTTTGACTTTATCCATTCCTTCTGTGGTTTCCCATTTGTTGGTGTATAGTTGCCTGTAACAGTCTTTAGTGATCCTTTGTATTTCTGTGGTCTCAGTTGGTATATCCCCTTTTTTTGTTTCTGATTTTATTTATTCTGTCTTTTTTTTCAGTCTACCTAAAGGTTTGTTGATTCAGACTGGTGTGTGTGTGTGTGTGTGTGCACACGCGTGTGTGTTTGAGTCAGGGTCTCCGTTGCCCAGGCTGGAGTGCAGTAGCAAGATCTCAGTTCACTGCAGCCTCTACCCCTGGGCTCAAGTGATCCTCCCACCTCAGGCTTCTGAGTAGCTGGGACCACAGGCACACACTACTGTGTCTGACTAATTTTTGTGTTTTTTTGAAAACGTAGGGTTTCCCCATGTTGCTCAGGCTATTCTCGAACTCCCGGACTCAAGCGACCCACCCACCTTGGCCTCCCAAAGTGCTAGGATTACAGGCAAGGGCTCCCAAGCCTGGTCTCAGACTGTTCTTAACCTGTGGAAAAGGTAAATCCACGTCATTAAAGAGAAAGAATAACATATAAGCCACAGTGTTGCTGATTTGCCACAACTGGGCATGGTGCCAGACAAAGAGGGCCAGATAAGCCAACCTTGTACCGAGCACAAATTACCAACCAACAGCAGCCCAGTTTCATGGGGGTCGGGGCAGCCAGACTTTAAGTTGGCCTCAGAGATTCCATCTCCTAGTATTCACAGCTTTGTGTCCCCTTCCACATTATAAGCATATTAGTGTTTGTGACAGAATATGGCGAAGTGAGATAGGTTGCTTCCAAGATTAGGTTAGAAAATACATTGTGGGCCCTATTTCCCTCTCTCTCTCTCCTCCATCCCTCTCCCCCTCTGTCATAACTCTCTCTGGGGAAATCAGATGCCATGTTGTAACAATTACAATAATATTCTGTTATTATTCAGTAGCTAATATGTGCCAGGCACTGTGCTAGGCACCTTACAAATACTTTTCCAATTAATCCTTACTATCGACCCATGAGGTTAATACCATTACTATTCTATACATATCACAAAGGAGAAAATGAGGCCTTGAGAAGTGAAGTAACTTGCTCAGAAGTTGGTCCCAACCTCTTTTGACTCCAAAGTCCATGCTCCTAACCACTCTCAGTATGCTAGGGCAATAGTGGTAACAAAGAACAAAAATCTCAGAACCCAAGCAATTTATAGTTTAGTGAGCAAGATGAAGCACGCACAAAGGGAACAATTAGAGAAAAATTACAAATGAAAATACAAATTTGAGATAATTTGCCCTCCCCACTCCCTTAAGCGATAATGACTAGAGGTGCTAAGGAAAGAGGAATGTGGGGCAAGGGGAATAATCAGGAAAAATTTCTCAGAAGAAATCGGCTTTGATTCAGATTTAGAATTGAAGGCAACTGAAAATATCACCTGAGCTGGTTCCAACATGTATTGACCCAAGGAAAAGTCAAAGGCATCAACATCTCTTTTACCTAGTTTTTCCCTAATGCTCATCTGCCTCCAAGGTCCGTTCCTAGTTTTGATATTGTACAATAGCTATGCAAGATGTTACCACTGGGGAAAATTGAGCAAAGGGTATATGTGACCTATGTGACCTTCTGGCCTTTTCTCTTTTTTTGGCAATTTTCTGCTATTTCAAAATTAAAAGGTTTTCTCTTTTTTTGGTGGGGGGTGGAAAACTATTTCCCAGGTGTGCCAATCAGTTGTCTACTGGCTCTTAACTCCATTCCCGCCCCCTGCATGCATCTCTGCATCACAAGGCAGCTGGAAGCCTGCAAACGACATTTCCTAGACTTTCTTTTCAGTTGATTTTAAGTTCTGCCAGTAGGAGTCACTGGCAGTAAATTGGAAGATGATGAAAGCCACAGGCTTTTTCTTTTATTCTTGAGGCAGCAGTGTATCATCCCAGCAGCCTCAGTAGCCCGGTGACTGTGGGTCCTGGAAAACACCTTTCCTTTTCTTTCTCCAGGTTAGGTGGATGGTAGCACCCTGCAGTTACTGATCTTTGGGGTAATCTCATTTCCCCTTTCAATCCTTCAGCCTTTCCAACAATTTTTTTTTTTTTTTTTTTTTGAGATGGAGTTTCGCTCTTGTTACCCAGGCTGGAGTGCAATGGCGCCATCTCGGCTCACTGCAACCTCTCAAATACCTTGAGTGGTAGTTTCTGATTTCCTGACCAGACACACCTCAAACACTGTAATATTTAAAATGTATTGCAAGTCAAGGAATGGATGATAATTGAATAGGAAATAATCCTCAAAGATTTGGCACTATTCATATGCCCTGATGTTCCTCACCCTCACACATACACACAAAAGACCAGAGTTTGGTATCACGTTGGTATAGATTTGCATCCAGTCTTAATCTACTTATCAGCTCTGAAATTATGGGCACAATTGTCAGCCTCCATGAGCTTTGGTTTCCTCATCTGTAGAGTGAAGGTAATAATATTTATCTAATAATGCACATGCTAAATGGCCTAGTCATCCCACAGTGTGTACATATGTTAAAACACCATGTGGCCTGGTGCGGTGGCTCACACCTGTAATCCCAGCATTTTGGGAGGCCAAGGCAGGTGGATAACCAGAGGTCGGGAGTTTGAGACCAGCCTAGCCAACATGGTGAAACCCTGTCTTTACTAAAAATACAAAATTAGCCGGGCATGGTGGCACATGCCTGTAATCCCAGCTACTCAGGAGGCTGAGGCCGGAGAATCACTTGAACTCGGGAGACGGAGGTTGCGGCGAGCCAAGATTGTGCCATTGCACTCCAGTCTGGGCGACAGGAGCGAAACTCCGTCTCAAAACAAAAACAAAAACAAAAACAAAAAACATAAAAACACCACGTTGTACACCATGAATATATACAATTTTTACCTGTCAATTTAAAAAAAGACTTATCTAATGAAATCATCCTGGGGAAAAAATGAAATTACGTATGGAAAACACTTGAGACACAATACATATCAAATATGTCTTTAAATCAATTTTCTCTCCAATTTAAGCACCCGTTCCTTTTATTGTTCCAGCAGCCTGAATTATTGAAATAGCAGACTGAATATTCACTCAGGAATCAAATTCTTATGAAAATCCACACAGGAGATAACTGGAAAGAAAAAGTCAAATTAAAGTGGTTGGCAATTCATCATTTGGTTTCATTAGTTCCAGGGCCAGCCTAATTTCCTTTCAGTTTCCCACAACAGGACTTTTTGAAGACTCACAGTTGAACCTTATTTTTATGCCTGAATTGATTAAAACTTTTAACTTCTTTTACAGACTCTAGTCCAGTTCTTATTTCTGTGAATAAGCAGGACCTTCAGTACAGCAGAAACAGTAGACCTGTCTTAGCTCCATGCATAAATTATGATGTCTGCTTCTTAGCAATACTCTCTGCGACATCAGCAGCAGAGTCAGCTAACAGTGGCTGGGGGATGCCACAGTCTGGAACTCTACTACACAGATGGACATGGATTTCTGTGGCTTGATAAACCATCTGGATTTCTTACATTTAGGGTGAATCCAATTATTTGTTCTTTCCTTTGGAGGGTGAAAAGTGTCTTCCCAACAAGGTAAGTAAAACTGTCCATGTTTTTCTCTTTGTTGATTCTCTATGGTTGGCTACTCTCTCATGATTGTCAATCAAAGGTGGATTATGGGATTTCTACAATTTATGCTCTGAATGTGATGACGTTGGCTGATCTCTAGATGTATTCGGAAATAGGAATAATCACATTCCTCTTTTCCCTATGCGTTAAGGTCTTTGTTAACTGGGATCGTTTATTTTATAATACACTTTGGTGTCTTAATATGTTTCATTAATAGAGTTCATGCTAAAAAATATTGTGTGAGTTAGCCATTTAAAAACGAAAGACAAGATCTACTAAAGTAAACAAAAACAGTACTAGATACAACCACCTCTGTTTTTGGATAATTAAAGTGTGTTAGGATTCTACATGTCCTCCTTTCAGCTCTATAAGCACTTCATGTCGATCACCTGTAGCTGTCAGAAAGGAATGTCCCACAGAGATGGCAGGGGGGTGCAGGTGTGCCAGTTGGGCCTCCCAAACACAATCAAAGCAGTTTAAGTAGAAGAAAAAAGTATGTGTTGATGGACAAATGCTTGCCTAAATCTAGGAGCATAAGCGATGTCCTCAGGACTTGGTCTCTCTCTCTGTCTCTCACTACACTCTCCTTAGTGCTTGTTCTATCCACAGGCAGGCCCTCATCATGGGGGCAAAGTGGCTGTCAGCACCTCCAGGCACGTAACCTGACTCTCAACAGATTTCTGGGGTCAATCCTAATTGGACAAGCTGAGATTATCTGTCTTCCCTGAAGCAATCCGTGTAGCCAGGGGAAGGGTCCCTGGAAGCAGAGCCTGAGACAGTGGTTTGGGGGCACATGATGTATTGAAGAAGTGCCCTTCAGGAAAAACCTACAGGGGAAGGGGAGAAACAGGACAGGGCAGGGGAAGGAGTTAAGCAAGGATGTGGTGTCAGGTCAAGTCTAGCCTGGTCCGATCCACAAGATATAAGCATTGAGGACAAATTGCATCATAGTTGGCCTCCCCTAAAGGCAAGGGCTTACCTTTTATAATCTATTTCATTTGGTCATTGGCTGTAGTCTGCCCCTAGAGGAAAGATCGCTCCCCGGGGAAAGTAGCTGTATCATCTCAGGGGAATTCCCTGGAGAGGGGGCAGATGTGAGCTGTTAGCAGCCTATATTGCAGCATTAGGTGCACGGGCTGGTGAAGAGACCCTGAGTGGGCACCATGGCATCTACTATAAGTTTAGTGAGACTCTTCCTATACCCCCTGATAAAGCATGCTTTTTTCAGAATCCATGGCTTCCAGTACCACAGAATCTAAAGTTAGTGAGGAACAGAAACACAAATTCCCCAAGTGGGATGGTGAGAAAGGCCATTCCCCTCTCCACCATTTAGTCCCCATTTCAATGAATTCTACCTCTCAGGAACACTGCATATCTAATGGTTGTTGGTTTAAGGAGTGTGTTGCATCTTGAAGAATAGCACCCCATCCTCATAGGGCGTCATCTCCAGGTCAGCACCTCAACTGCATCTTTAAGAGGCCATTCCACTGCTGTGTCAGGCTGGAAGCTTCTGGAGGATGCAGTACATGTTAGGAACAGTGGATCCTGTGGTCATGGGCCCATGGCTGCACCTCCCTTGTCATCCAGTGGGTCCCTTGTTTGAAGCCAGGTTTTGTGGAATCTCATATCTGTAAATCATTCCCACTGTGAGTTCTCAAATAGTGATGCTGGCTCTGGCTCTGCGGGCAGGAAAGCCAAACCCTCACCCAGAACTCGTATCAATTCCAGTCAGGATGAATTGCTGCCCTTTCCAGAGTAGCAAGTGTCCCTTGTAATAAACTTGCCACCAAGTCCCTGGCTGGTTGCCACAAGGGAAAGTACAGGTGGCTCAGCATCTGTCTCTGTTGCTGACAGGCTGGACAATTACACCAGTCGTGGTAAGAGGAGCCTGTGTTTTTGGGCCTCTGCACAGCCTCTATCTATGCCTTCATGGCTATTTTCTTCCTGAGGCCATGATGGAAGTACCAGGATGACTGAGGGCAGAGGCTGGTGGGCATCAATTAGTTGAGTCACTCAATCCATGTATTGGCTTAATACCTCATCCACAATGGATGGTCCTTTGTGAGCATTAACATGTGCTACAAAGACCCTCATTCTTGATGTCCACTCCAATAGGTCCAACAATACACCTCTTCCCCAGACCTCCTTCTCCCTTGATCTTGCTATGCTGCTCCTTCCACTCCCCTAATCCACCAGTCAAGTCATTCATCACTGCCTGTGAGAGGATGTATATTCTTACTTTGGGTTATGGTATGGTTTGGCTGTGTCCCCATCCAAATCTCATCTTGAATTGTAGTTCCTGTAATCCCTTCATGTCATGGGAGGGACCCAGTTGGAGGTAATTGAATCATGGTGGCAGTTACCTCCACGCTGTTCTCGTGATAGTGAGTGAGTTCTCATGAGATCTGATGGTTTTATAAGGGGTTTCTGCTTGGCACTTCTCCTTCCTGCCATCGAGTAAAGAAGGATGTGTTTGCTTCCCCTTCCTCCATGATTGTGTTTCCTGAGGCCTCCCCAGCCATGTGAAACTGTGAGTCAATTAAACCTCTTTCCTTTATAAATTACCCAGTCTTGAGCAGTTCTTTTTAGCAGCATGAGAATGAACTAATACAGGTTACTTCTGTCTCCACCCAAAGTGTATGACCAATTGCATAGCCTGAATGTCTGCCCCCTGGAGGGATTCTCCTCATCCCTCTTGTCTCTGAGTGGGTCAACCATGCAATAGCAGTGCCTTTTCAGCTGGTACCAATGTACTGAGCCAAGCCATCCCTGAATCACACTCAGACCCTTTGTCTTTCTGTCATCTGTTGATAATTGACCCATGTTGCTATGTGAGATGAGCTGAGAAAAAGTGGATCATGTGAGTGTCTGGCTCCTTGCTCATGCAGCTTAGTTATTTGTTCTGGATCTGCTTGAACGTGATCTTGGATGTGCCATTTCCACCTTTCAGTGGATTGCTGCAGGCTCTGCTAAACCATATGACTCTGGGTCTGACAGCATGCGGTTCATGATGGGCAGTTCTGACCACATGATCACTTCATGCCCCAGAGTCAGATGCACCATCTCACCACACCCTGGTCATGTGAGGGGCTGTTTTGTAAATGATGTCTAGTTCTCTGCTGCGGATACATAACTTGCTGCTGAACCCTGTATGTCTATGCTGAGATTTTCCTATTGGGGTTCCACATGGTATCACTTTCTAATTCTAATCCATGAGATATGTCCATTCACTTGGCCTAGGCAGCAGTTCTGTCTATATTATAGCCCAAATATGCTGCAGTACCCTTTTCTGCTCGGAGCGTCTGTCAAAACTAACAGCTTGTTACTAATATCCGATAAATGGGTTGGAATGATATTCCCAAGTGTGAAATAGTCCACCTTCAAAACCAAAAGAGGTCTACCAAGCACTGCGCCTCTTTCTTTAGTAGTAAGATGTTCAAGGTGAAAAACTTGTTCCTGCTTTGGAGGGCCCGTCCTGACATGTCCCACACTTTTAGACTCCTAAAATTGTCATCACTGTGCAAACCCCTGAATCTTTATGGGACCTACTTCCCACCCTCATGAAGTGCGTATGTTTCACAAAGGCATCCCGAGTACTTGCCAGCTCATGCTCATCAGGTCCAATTAATGTGTTGTCATCAATAAAGTGGACCAATGTGACATTTGGAGGAATGTCCCAGATGGTCCAGCTCTCTTTTGGTCACAGTGAGACAGAGATCAGGAGAATTAACATAGCCCCTGGGTGGCCGGGCGCGGTGGCTCATGCCTGTAATCCCAGCACTTTGGGAGGCCGAGGTGGGCAGATCACGAGGTCAGGAGATGGAGATCATCCTGGCTAATATGGTGAAACCCCGTCTCTACCAAAAAATACAAAGAATTAGCCGGGCGTGGTGGCGGGCGCCTGTAGTCCCAGCTACTCGGGAGGCTGAAGCAGGAGAATGGCGTGAACCTGGATCCTTGCAGAGCCAAGATCCAGCCACTGCACTCCAGCCTGGGTGACAGAGCAAGACTCCACCTCAAAAACAAAAAACAAAAAACAAAACAAAACAAACAAACAAAAACAAAACCAAAGAAACATAGCCCCTGGGCAAGAACGTGAATGAAAGCTATGAATGTGAACTATTTCTGATCTTCCTGTTGAGTAGGAGAAAACCTCCTTTGCCAGATCTGTAGCCACATACTAGATTACTAGCAGCTGTGTTAATGTGCTTTAATAGTAGGGATACTACATTGTTATAGTAGCTCCATTTGAGGTTATGTCTTGGTTAATGTTGCAGCTGGCCACTGTGATACACCTTGAATCCAGGTGTGCAGGAATCAATCTGGTAAATTACTTGGGAACATAACGGGAACCATCAGTGATGGATCTTTTTTTTTGAGATGGGGTCTTGCTGTGTTGCCCAGGCTGGAGTGCAGTGGCCTGATCTCAGCTCACTGCAAGCTCCGCCTCCCAGGTTCATGCTATTCTCCTGCCTCAGCCTCCCGAGTAGCTTGGACTACGGGCGCCCGCCACCACGCCCAGCTAGTTTTTTGTATTTTTAATAGAGACGGAGTTTCACCGTGTTAGCCAGGATGGTCTCGACCTCCCGACCTCGTGATCCACCCGCCTCGGCCTCCCAAAGTGCTGGAATTACAGGCGTGAGCCACAGCGCCTGGCCAGATGTTTTGTTTTTGAGGATGGCACTCATCTTTGTCATTACCCCTGGAATGCACTATTGTTCTTGATATGTGATATTTGCTAAGGTTGTGGGTGCAGTTTCAGGGTGGCTCTTTGATCTTTGATCTCTACTGAGAAATTGAAACACACACACAAACACATGACGAAATCAAAGAACATACAGAAGGCTGAAACCAGCTACTCCAGTAATGGAGAGTCACAATCCCTTGCATTGTGTGCGTGTGTATGTTTTAAGGCCATACAGTTGGAATCAGAAGGCCAGAAAAGTCAGTTGAATAGCAGTTTA